CGATACCAGATACTCTCAATCTCAATGCCAAAAGGTCAATATCGGTACTTCAATTTCTAGTATCGGTAGCATTTTTTGTTATTAGTATTAGAACCCTTTTCCAGTGCTAATATCATTACCAAATACCCTTAGTATCGATACTGGAGGAGCAGTATCGATACTCCTTCCCTCAATATCAGTACTTCCTACCAAAATAGCACAAAATTCATCTCAGTTCATCTAGTATTGATACTGTTCATCCAGTATCGATACTCGAACCTAAAATTACCTTGTTTAAGATCAAAAAACACCCAAGAATTATCCCAAATGTCTTAGTTTGGTTCCTAATCATGTGCTAAAGCTTTAAAGAGTTATTTGGGGTCTTAAGGTAGCATAAAAACACATTTTTATAATTAAAACATCTTTTAATCATGAAATCATGTAAAAACCCTAAAATAGTCTAATACACAAACCTTAGCAATTATTGATATTTATGAAAGCCTTAACACTCCAAAGGATTAGAAATACACTACATTGGTGCTAGGATCCCGAAATAAAGCTCATTTCTTAGCCATACTCAATTCCTCTAATATTTGGATGAAAACTATAACACCCTAAAGTCGAATGTGCCTAAAGTGTCACATTGGGTCGTCGAGGCAACCCTTGATTTTTAAAACCTATTTATTTTCATTTCAAACATATTGAATGGTATCATAAAAGACATAATTAACAGTTATAAAACATTTTATAAACCAAAGCTCCATGATACATAATTTAAAATGAAAATAATAAAACTTTGAGTTATAAATTTGAATACAATAATAAGGGTCCTATGAATACATATGCCCACTGAAGCTACAATACAATACTCTAAAGGAGATGCTGGAAGTCTTGTTGTGACAGTTCTCTACGAATGGCTCTGGCTACTAACCTACGAACGAAAAACATTCGAGCGATAAGCTTACAAAGCTCAGTAGTATAATCGCTAATCTAGAACAACATTATAAGTGTCATAAACAACATGCTAAAGATATGGTACTAAACAGTAAGTACATGCATGATCTCAATCAAGTGCTATCTTCTTTAACTGTTCTATCACCAAAGTAGAAGTCTCATGCTTCCCTTCATCCTCTACTAAAGGTCTTTCTATGAGTACACCTCTAGAGGGTCTCTAACCCTAATGATTGTAACCGATGTGTATTCTCTAAATACGGCGCTAAAACTCTTGTGAACTATTTGAATACGACACTACTAGTATTTGGTCTCACATAGCCATCAGACACTAGATAACTAAGGATACCACACCCGACTAACCCATCCCTCGCGAGTGTTAGGCCTCGCACCCAAGTTAGCCATAAAAGTACCTCGCGTACTTGCTTATGTGTATCCAAATATCTTATACTATTAGACGATTGCCATCTACTATACTAGACTGATACAACTATACATGCATATCTAAGGACCCACAAGCCACACAACACTGACATCGTCAACCCACTCTTCATGAGTGTTCGGGCTTCGTGCCCTAGCTAGCCACTAAATTGCCTCACGCACTAACAATGCCCCACTAGGGAAACTAAGTTTAACCTAGCAACCCCCTAATATAGCTGGACACACTAGAGTGAGGTTGTCATCTCATTTATTGTTATCTCGCTCGTTCTCTCACCTAGAATATAACGCAAGGGTTTATTAGTCTGTTACTGTTGTTAGTCAATTAAGCTACTCTATTCTGGTCATTCGCTACTTAGGGCATTTTAGTCATTTGTCTCAGAAGAAGTCTCTACGCTTTTCGTGATTTCATTATGATTATCGTGCTTATTATTGGTTGTCTGCGACACTAACTAGCCCGTTATCTAACTTGGGTTCATTACTGGGGTAGCAACAATCGCTCTTATTACGTTTTCCCTTAAATCACCCTCAAATTGGAGGGACAACTATACGTTCACCATTCGCTAACATTCTTGCAATATGCAACTCCACTATTTCATAACTTGATTATTTCATCATACCGCTTCTGGTCTATCATTTACAACGATCCTTCATTTCTAGATATTAGTTATGTGTTTAACTGAGGATACTTGGATGCATTATGCATATTTTGGTTACTCTAGTTGTAACCCAGTCCTATAAGTGTTTCTAGGCCCCTTTGGCCATTTACGTTCCTCTTGGACTAAGTTTTACCATTATGGATCATCCATAGCTCTTATGGGCCTTAACCGGGTTGAATTTGACCATCCAATGTGAGTAGTATTGATACTTTACTTGCATTATCGATACCCTAAGATCAAGTATCGATACCCCATGAGTATCAGTACCGAAAATGGCTTTTGTTGTTGAAAATAGGACTTAATATCGATAATGTACACCCTGAGTATCGATACTATATGGGTAGTATCGATATTCTCCTATCAGTATCGATATTTCCTGCCTGAAATCCCTAGATTTTGCCCCAATTCATCCAGTATCGATACTCAAACCTATAAATGTCTTATTTAGGCTCGAGAAACACCCAAAAATATCCTAAACATATTAGTTTGGTTTCTAATCATGTGCTAAAGCTTTAGGACGTTACTAGGGGTCTTAAAGTGTCATAAAAACACATGTTTAATATCAAATTCGTCGCTTATGGCATGAATCAAGTATGAAACCCTAAAATACTCAAATACCAAAATCTTAACAAATCATCATGCTTATGAAAGTCTTAACACTCCAAAGGATTAAAAATATACTACATTGATGTTAGAAACTCGAATTGAAGCTCCTTTTAGCTAGAAATCGTCGTTTACCAAGATTTGGATGATAAAACCCCCACTTTTCTTGCAAACAAAGAACCCAAAGCTTTAAATTATAAAAATGATGTTGCTACAGTGAAGAGAGATAAAAGCCTTCATATTTTTTAAAAAGTGAAATTCCACATTTGGTTATCTCACATTTTTCCATTGTTCAAAAATCTCCTTTTTTTTTTGCTAATTGGGCCCAATCCAATCTAATTAAGCCCAACAACTTAAATTATGAAATCTACGGGGACCACATTTCTCTCAGGTAAACCTGAAACTACTAGCCTAAAATTTGGGTGCTACAAAAAAACTCACTTTCTCTTTAGTAATAAAGAACCCAAGACTTGAATCATCAAACCAAAGTTGCTGGAGGGATTAATGACGAAAATGAAGCTTAAAAGAAGTAGGAAATGACTCAAAGGACTGACCTTTAATTTATGGAGCTTGGAGAGGAAGAAGAGAGGAAAAATGAGAAGGAGAAAAGAAATGGAGAAAAGAAGGAGATGAAAGAGATAAAAAGCTTTCATCTTTTAAAAATGGGATAATTGCACTATAGGTCTTTTCTCATCTTTCTACAATTCAAAAACCTCATTTTTATGGCTAATATGGCTCAATTCCAACCTAATTAAATTCACACTCAATCCAACAACTTTAATTATAAATTTCAAGAGATCCATTTACCTCTCGGGTAAACTCAATACTACTAGTTCGGAATTCGAAGTGTTACAATCATGATTAATATCCCTTTGCAATATATTTTCACTGTTACAAGTTATATCTTATTTGGCCACTAGAAAATGTCGAGGAATTGTGCATAGAAAAGAATGATGAAAATAGAATGCAATTTTGCAATAAGTTATTTGATTTTATGATTTTTTTCCTAGACTGGTGAAGAGGTTTATTTTCATCACGTTAAATTTTAAAATTGTTAATGAAGTTATGTGAAGGAGAGAGATTTTAAACAAATTATAAAGTAAAAAAAATAAAGATTTTATTTTAATTTAATTCAAACGTAGGGTCATGTCATTAATGAAGTTGTTGAAAGGCCACTTGTTATATTGCTATAGGTTGGACGAGCTACCTGGTTTTAACGGTGTTAAAATTTGGGTAAAACATATAAATAGTCCCCAAATTATAGGATACTACTTTATTAAGACCTTTTACTAATAAAAGTTATAAAATAGTCCCTTACTTATAGGTCGTTTTTTTGTTGAGACATTCTACTATTAAAAGTAATAAAATGATGACTCAACTATTAATATGTTCCAAACTAGTCCTCTTTTGTTAAAAATGATAAATATTTGAGCTAAACGTTAACATGTTGATTTGGATATAACAAATTTATATTTTAATCATATTTACTGGCATCATTGTTACTTTTACATACTGACTCGACGATATTATGTTCCAAGCACTAGCTCAACGACATAATATAAATAGAGACTTGATCTAAAAAATATAATTCAAATAATTATAAGATCAAATTTATTATATCCTAGTGAGGAGGTTAACGTCTAATTCAGACAGATGCTAATTTTCTAATAAAAAAAGGATGATTTTAAGGCTAAATCGTGAATTATGATTAGGTATGTCAATAACTCCATCAAATGGCTTAAAATTGTTTCGATCACAAAATATTTAGGTGATGATATTTTTTTAATTCAGGTTAAATAAAATTAAAGGATATGGAAGTTATTTTAATCAATTTAATTATCACAATCTCTTTTATAGTTATAATAATAATTGGGGTATATTACCTATTTGGTTACCTACCTATTACTTTGTTTCTGTTTTGGTCACCTAATTGTTATTTTTTCAGAATCATACATAACATTAAATTTTGATTATGTTTTAGTCACACGCCATTAAAAAATTAATAGTATTGTTGATGTGATATTTTTAATTATTTTTAAATGCTAACACGGTATTATCTTATGATGACACTTGAGCAACATCATCAATTCTTTAACGGTAAGTGATCAAAACATAATATTAGGTATGATTTTGAAAAACAATAATAATTGAGTGACCAAAATAGGCACTAAGTAATATATGAGTGACCAAATAAGGTAGTTTACCCTAATAACTATATCAACCGATTTCATAAAAAAATAATATGACCCTTTAGTGATTTTAATTTTTTTTAAGGAATTTATCAATATTTTATTTTATATATATATAATTTACCTATGATTACTTTTCAAACAATAAATAATACTGCATATAATTTAAAGTTTATCACACTAAATAACTCCTCATTTAATATGGCATGGATTTAGTTAAGAAAATCTCTCAAGGCATACTATGTAAACCTTAGAAGTTGAGTGCTACAAAACCATTGCTAGACCTTAGAATCTAATGCCATAATGGTGCTAAGGTTCATTGGGTTCATGTATTTGGTGGAACCAGTCATGATCTGTTGTACAATCAGCCTGTTAGCTCTCTCTGATGGATGGAATGGATCCCAGAACACGAAAACGTCCCGGTTCGGGCACAGGTTCGATGCTATGGTGCAGAGTCCGATTCCGTTGTACGGTCCTTGGCCACAGCAGGCTACCTTTGATGTAATAAAACCTGCTCCCAATATACATATGACTTGTTATTTGTCCGAAATAAAATGTTGAGAAATGAAGAGTTCGAGTAACATAAATACATGTGTACCATATGCGCGAGGGTTACTGATCCAATCCATGTGCATTTCATATGCATTTGCTGCGATGAAGACATCGGAACCAAGCTCGGCGTTTAGTCCGTTCAGCATTTGAACAAGCTGTGGGTTGAACAAGGCTGCTGCGCGTTGCAGCTCGACCGCGCATTCACCGGCTCTGCTGTGCTGAGCTAGTTCTGCTGGAACACAACCCAATGGTCCTGTTCCTGTTACCAATACTCTCCTTGCCCCCAACTCATATAGCCTCTGCAAACCAAAAAAATTACAAATACTCACACATATTAATCCGAGTTGCAGATCAACATATTGGGAAAATTAATGACAAAGTTATGTATAATGTGTATACATACATACATACATACATACCTAAGGACGTACGTACATATATATATATATATATAGAAATGTGTGTTGGCTTTAAATATAGCAACAGAAGATAAACACATAAATGTTGGCTTCACCTACCAAACCAAACTTTTGATGCATAGTAATAAATAAGCCTTTATTCTTAATTCCTCACAAAAATTGAACATTTAGCTTTCTATATCTATAGGCTCCATAAAGGCTGGAGCAGAGGATACTGCTTGTCCCCAAATTATGCTAATAGTACACTTGCACTGTATCTTGTCCCTACTCCGTTAATTGGTGATAGTACTTTTTCGATTTCCTAGATTCGATAAATTTGAACCCGACTCGACACATTTTAACATAATTGGTATAAGTAGAACAAGAGGTTTAGTGCACAATAAATCTATCTGCAATATTCAGGTAAGTGCAAGTTTTACCAGAAGAATTTTCTGGTATTCGGAGATTAAATAGACGACGTAATCCGGTAGGGCGAATTGTCGAGATCTTGCCGAGAAGGGGACCAAGAAGTAGTTGTTTACGAAATCATTGCCGCCGAGGGTCATGAGAACCAGTGCTTCATTTACTAGGCGCTGAGTTTGTTCAGGTCCAATAAGAGCACTCACACGTTGCTGATACTGCTGGAAGTATTGCAGTTGCCTTGAAATTCGGATTATATTGATCTACACAGTTCATTGATTGCTTTAAAAATATTTTTTATAACTTAGAGAATAATATCACGTAGCTTAAATAGAAATTGGACTTACAAATTGAATCCCAGTGTCATTGAGAATTCCAATTCCAGCAGAAGCAAAGTTGGCACCGACGAGAAGTTTTTGACCAGTGAGCTCTGGGCTCAGGTACGGCAATGTCGGCTCGGAGCCAAGTTGCTCACCTGAGTACCACATAGTCCATTGATATCAATGCAAATTGAACAAAGTTCACCCTAGACCAAAAAAAAAACTAATCAACTTACTGATAAGATCTGGGATGTTAAGGCCATTAGAGAATCGACCGGTAGCTCTATGAGTCGGATAGTCGATGCCATAGGGGTATGCATCCGCTCGGGCAGTGGTTACTAGATAGTTGTTGTTACCATTATCGACTAGTGAATCTCCAAACACGAAAAATGCCCTCGACTCAGCTTGAGGAACTACATGTCCTAATGTAAGCAGCAAACCAAAAAACATAACGAAGACGAAGGGATTGTCCATTGAAATGGCTCTAAGATACCCTACCAAAGTACACTTATCCCCCTTGACAGTGAAAGTATATATAGCAGTAGCACCGCTAGTTCAACATATATATATATACAACTCTGGGTTTTAATTTTTATTTTGGGGTTTATTCCACTTTATGAAATATAAATGCAGAGTGCTACCATCTATGGAGTTAGCTGGATATGGTGGTTCAAGTAGTTCAAGTTATGTAAATGAAGAATTAAATTTTAAGAAAGAGACTTTCTTTAACAATATCATATATTTCTGCATCAGTGACAATCACAGTATAGCTGGCAATGAGTAGTGTACCAGGACTAAACTTATGCCAAATAATTTTACATTATATAAAAAGTTAAATAACATTGTTATTATTATTCTAGTTTTATTTATTTTATTTTATTATTTTCTGTACTTTTATCGACTAAGATAATGTTACAGATAACACGGATAAAGGGGGATTTTTTTGTTGTGGTGAAGTTATAAAATATTTAGAAGGACAAAAATAAATTATCAATAAAAATATAAAAGAACATTTAAAATATACGAGAATTTGAAATTATCAATGTTGGTGTGGTTTGTGTTGATTTATAACATGAGATGGTGGTTTGTGGTGGTGGTTAATTGATCATCTCTTCTGGTATAGATGAATGGTTATTAGTTACGGTGATGTATTTTAAGAGCATATACGGACTTTAGGGGTTTAGGACAAACTTGATAAATATTGATAACTCTTGGATGGAGTATTAGAATGAAAATATCTATTAGATAATGAACTATTAGTTTTAAATACGATTCGTTATATAAATAGACAAATATTCTTTTTTATTATAGATAACAATAAAATCGTCGATCATTGCAAATATACAAAACTCGAGAATTAATTCATCATCATATGACTGACCGATGATTACTAACAATTCCAACTTCAAGTAGAGAAGTTGTAGCTTGCAATCTAAATTGAAGGCGTGATGGTGATCTTTTGTCTCATTCATTGTAACTCATGTGTTGCCTAGGACATAAGAGACGTGATCGACTTCACATCATCCTCATCTTTCTCTGATTTATCATCGATAGTCTATTCAATTTATCGAAAAAATAAAAGAAAATTTCTTTTATTGTAAAATAAGGGAGAAAATTATCGTTACTTTTAAAGATTTGGTTACGTTAACCATATGATGATTGTTGATGATATTTGGGGGGGAATAGATGGATTATATATTATTTATTGTTTATTGATTAGAGATATAACACTTGTTTCCTTAATACAGTGTTATAAAACGACATGATGATTTTGAAACAAAACAAATGTATTATATAGCTCTGACATTAAACTTCTCTTTGGAGCATCTCTTTCCAATATTATTATATAAATTTGAAATAAAAGCCATTATCCACACTAGTCTATATTAAAGCTTAAAGATGGAGGTGATAGCTGTAGCTGCCGAATCCCATAACTTGAACAATAATAGTGAAAAAAGGGTGATATTTGTGAGTTTCGGCAACAAATGCATGCCAAATACAGAATGGGGACCATGTGATCACCATAAATATGTTGAGGATATTTATTCAACTACCATATCTAAGATCTGAATTCCATTATTCTATTCACGCTTCAAATATCCTTTATATTGTAACCAAAAAAATATCCTTTTTAAATATATATATATATATATATATATATATATATATATATATAAACAAATAATTTTATGATAGGATAAATTTATAAAATTTTATGAAGCACGAGCTTATGAAATATCATGGGAAAAAATCATTGATAAAATTTTAAAAATTATATTTTAAACATATAAAATTTCATTTTCAAAAAATAACTATATCCACCCTTCATCCATCTATATAAATTTCAACATAGGCCTAGCATTATTTATATATAAGTTGGTAGTCGTACTATATGAATCTACGAATATATAATATATTATTTTTTAATCAATACTTGATAACTTTAATATTCTTTTTTATTAGGTGCAATTATTATTATTATTATTATATATACTCGTGATAAATAAAAATCTATAATTTAAAATGGATTGCACTAATTTGAGAGGAGAATGGCAATTTGACCAAAAAAATACCATGTTAAAAAAATAATACCTATCAAACACCCTTTCATAACTATTTTCCGAGCTAACACATTTTTTTTAGGAGAGAGAAGGAGGCGCACGGAAGGAGACGCGCCTTAGTCGGGGGAGGGAAGATACGTCGCATGAAACGTACCTTTCATGGGATTTATGAATAGCGTGCCCTAGGGAACGTGCCTCCCTTGAATAGTGCGTCGTACGGAACGCGCCTCAATGCCCAGATTAAGGTTTTATGTTAAAGCTAGTTTAGGGTTTAATAATTAGTTTTAGAGTTTTTAGTGGTTTAGGGTGTTATATTTGTATGGTTTAGGGTTTTTAAAGAAGTTCAGGGTTAAAATTGATTGTATGTTAGAATGTTTGTGTTTTTAAAGTAGAGTAGAGTTAAAGTTGGTTGTATGTTAAATTGTAAGAAATAAACGTTAAACATTTAATTGGAAAATTATATAGATAGACGAAATGGTCATCTTGTAAAATAAACAATTTAAAATCACATTAATTAAAGCTAAAAGAAAATCAAATAACATAAGTTGAAACATTAGAAATTATGATTACATGAGTGGTGGTCAACGGTTACTTGATGATCAAAGAGATGGACAGTTTCTCCTATTGTGGCCGGGATTTCTGCAATGGCCACATCTCATTTGGGTCTTTGTCATTACCTATGGGGGAAACTCATATTCATATACCTTGAATACTTGTGAAAGTTGGTATATGGGATCCACATAACGTTTATAGTCTTGACGAGAAAATGAGCAAGCTGCTATGACATGGGAGCATAGATACTTCAAAGCTTCAAAAAATCCACAGTCACATCATCTATCTCGTAGTTTAACACTGAAAGAGTTAAAATCAATCCCTTGCAGAGGTCGTGGTATTTTTGTGACATGAAATAATTCTTGGGTGCAAGAAAAACTTATTATGGACATGTTGTTTTATGTTGCAACCTTTTGCTGCAAATCTACTATTAATCATGGGTGATAAACAAGATCGTTTTGTATCCAAGTAAGAGCTTGTCCTCCAAGCTTGGCAAAAAGTTGATCCCAAACAAAAATACGTCATTTTAGCCAAAGTAGTTATTGGTAAATGACAGATCGCTTTAAGGTTGAATTGATTGCCTCAGCCAAATTGGTTGTCACATGTCCATATCGAAATGCACCATCGTATGCATTTGTTCACTTTTCTTTGTTGATTTCACTGATGTAATTGTATCTATGTTCATTGTTTCCTCGTAATTCTTGAAGCATAACCTCAAACGTTTGAGGTGAGAGTTTGTATCCTAAACGAAATGAAGTAGCTAGTATAAAAAAATTCCAATGAGTGAGAAATGAAATTGGGAAAAATGTAACATACACATACGCATAATTAATTGTCATTCATCATTCTTCTTATATATGCCATGACAGTTTACAATAATATGTCGGATACAGAGACGATGATGGACGTGTGGGGTTTCCATATTGGAGCCAAAGAGTCTATTGCTCATTTGATCCCAGCTTCTTGCTCTGAAATGATACAGATACGTTCCCTTGTGATAAAATATAACGTAGATTTCTCAGGAAAAAAAATCCCAAAACTCTGTATTTTCTCCTTCAACAAGGGCAAAGGCAACGAGAATAATGTTACGATTACCATCTTGGATAACTGCCAATAATAAAACTTGCTTGTATTTTCCACACAGGAATGAACCATCAATTTGGACAACAAGTTATAGTGTTTCACTGCATTAATGCATTGTGGGTAAGTCCAAAAAACACGGTGAAATTGGCATCGATCTCGAATAACTCGATCATTATGGTAAGAATGGCGAGCTTCAAACTCAACTATTATCCCAGGAATCAGTCGTTGAACCAGATTAAACCAACTGGGTGGTTCGTTGTAAGATTAATCCCATTCACCTTGTAGTTTTATAATTACATTATGTTTTGCCTTCCATGCTTTTTTGTAGGAGACGGTGTACCCATATTGAGATTGTATTGCAGAAATCAACATTACAACATGTATGTGAGAGCTTGCTCTGACTAAGGGCATGATGGCTTGGCAAATTACGTTGGAGTCCAAGTTTGGATGGTCCTAGTTGATCCCCTGTGCACAACATGTATGGGGACCACTCTATTTTCTTAGGTTCCATATGACAGTCTTCTTTCTCTTTGAAACACAAACCATCCAATTGTAGGCCGTTATCACGTTGGATACAATAACATACTACTTTTCGGTGGTAGATCGATCGACTTTGAACTGAACTGAATTATGAATATTATAATTTTTAATTCCATAATTGTTTCTTCTTTAGATGTGAAATCCATTCCAAGATATAAATCACCATCATTAACTAATGAATGTCTCCCATAGTCTCCAAGATGAGGCATATCAAGAAATTATGGCCCCTATATAGTATCATAGTCAGTTTCATACATGTGTGTTAGAGGTTCATAGTGTACTATATTTGTAGGAACTTCATTCGCATCATCATCAGAGTCCATATTGAATTGCGGTTACTCGAGTTAAAGGAATAATCCAGTTTCAGCACCATCTACTCTTGGCTCACGAATAGGTTATTGTGGAGGAGATGATGTTTCTTATGTGACTGATATTTAGTTCGAACAAGTTCGCAGATGAATACATTTCTTTGGATCTTAAAGGGATGCCACCATATGGGTTATGAATTGAGTGTTGTGTGGAAGGCATTGTTGTGTCGAGGTTGAAGTTGTTGAAAGATAAATGTCTCCCCCTGGAACTGGAATGCATGTTGGGGTCTAAAAAAGTGACAGATGAACGTCTTCCTCTGGAACTTGGTGGTATGCTAACAAGAGGTTGATTAGCCATTAATGACGTGAAATCATTACAGATTGTTTGAGTTGGATTGTCAACTAGTTCATACATGTCATAATGAGAGGATAAGGACATACCTCGAACTAGATGCACATCAACAAAAGTAGCA